GTGGGAAAGAATGATCTAGTCAGGTGTGACAGTCAAAAGAAGACAGGCAATCAGGTGGGATTTGGGTGTGGTTGTCCATCTGATCACTAAGCTTCCATACCTGGATCCAAAAACTTCCTTGAAGCTCCGTAGTTATGTCAATCAAGTGCAAAAGCTTCTGGAATTTGCTATCAGAATAATCAAAACGGTCCCCAAAAGTGATGGAGCAGATGATATTTGCAACTGCATTCTTAATCAGCAGCTGGGGGTCAAACGGTTGCCCTGGGGAGAGGAGAGGAGTGGCGGCAGAGGGAATATTAGACTCCTGTCAGTTAAGGCTCCCGTTTAACAGAAATACCATATGGGAAAAGTGGGGCAATATGTGCACAGAATGAGGCATTTTCTAAAACGTTTTTTTAAATCCCACCAAGGCCCCTGAGCAGCAGGGTGCATCGGATGCTCTGCATGTTTTCCAATGAACTTTTCCCCTGGGTGACCATCCTGTGTGTGCTTGGACAGTAGAGGCTTCTGCAATCTGCAGCAGCCCCAGCCAGCGGAGCAGAGAACATGCCTTTAGCGGAGGGATGTGGTGTGGCATCTTCACAGCCAGAGGGCATGGAAAACAGAGCCGGGCAGGAGCTGCTTAGCGGTGGCACTTCAGGGGAGCTTATTTTTGCAAGCAGGTTTGGGGCACACTTTAGACATGCGAATGTCTCCTTTTCCCTCATGAGATATATTTCATTTATTGCATTGCTAAACTGTCCAAGCAACACGAAAATGACAGAGAACTGAGATACAGCAGAAAAGAGGGAAACTCCACAATCCGTTGCTCACAACAAGGTTCCAAAATGAGCATGATTTTCAAAAGACAGATTCACTCACTACTCAGGCCCATCTCTACTGGTTTACTCCAAGGAAGACTGAAAGTAGAGTGTGACCAACCCCTCCTCTGCAGCTCCCTCCACCTCTCCCTCCCTCTCTCTCCATCTTTGTGCATAAATATTCCTCAATATTTCGGAACCATTTATATTTCACTCCTGGCGGTGATTGCTGTGGCCATCCAGAGTTGTCAGTGAAGCACCTGACTTACCTGCCGTTGCTACCCTTCTTGGCTCAGTCTGAAACATGCACGGCCCTCTCTGGATGCAACTGCGGGTGTGTATGGCGCTCCACACCCAGGGAGTTCCCTGCAGGAGCTTCCCTGTCAGGCAAGGCTCCATGCAGGGTGCATGACCAGGAGAGGACTATCGGGCAACTCTTCTGGGGGTGAGGGCATCAGAGCCACAGCAGTGCTGATGAACTGGAGCACCAGTCCAGCTAAAGCATCCTTGTGCTGTTGCATAGAGAGGAGCTGCTTGGACAGAATCGGCCTTCCCGGTGCTTACCTTTCTCCTCCTCAATGGCATCCGTTAGGTATCTGCTCTCCTCCTGGATTCGTTCTTCTAAGCTTCTCTTGCCCAAACCAAAGTTTCTCAATGTGGATAAGGCAAACCGCCTGTGCTGCTTCCAGGTAAGCCCGTTAGAAGAGACCAGTCCTAGATGGGGAGGATTAGCAGGACAGCCGTGAGCACCTGGGCATCCCTTCGATGTGGGAAAGACAGACTCCCTTCCCTCTCTAGAACATTCCCTTTGCCTTGGCCTGACACAAGCCCTCAAGGAATTTGGTGATGAAGTTTTGTTTATGCCTTTCCTCTCCTAGGTTCTTCCTAGGCTGACCTTCTAAATCTCATCAATAACAGTTAGCCAACACTAAGAATTCCTCTTTCTACCCACAGAATCAATAGTTAAGGTATCAGAAGTGATCCAGAATTCAAGCAACAATTAGCATGAGCCTAATTTTTTCTATAGAGATAAGTACAGAGAGAAACACTATGGAGATCAGAGATCAGAGAATGGCATGCAATGACCTCAGACGGAGGACAGCTCCATGCACAGGCCCGGCATTCCAGCCCATGGGCACCCCACACCTCGCACCCATGGGCACCCCACACCTGTCCTGCCCATGCATGGGATGGCTGTCAAGGGGCTGCCCTGCAGGACAGGTAGCTTCTCTCTGTTGGGCAGGAAGCTCCTCCCCTCTCTAGGTGCAGGCAAGGGAAACGGGCGAAGCTCAATCGATGTGTCAAACAGCCGACTGGCACTGCTAGTGCAATCGGCTTCCAGTCAAGCAGCTACACCTTCCTCGGTTCGTACTCTGATCTGACACTCATGGCCAACAGAAGCTTTGCATGGAACACACACTTGGACGTGTTTTTACCCGATTTCATCCTGTTTACCAAGAGTGGAAATGCAACACTCACTGACGCATCCAATGGGAACTTGTGAAACAACCTAAAGCTGTTTTCTGAACACTACAGCACGCAGTTGTGTTAAGTTACAAATCACATCATCCTGAGGTGACAGGCTGTATAAGCCGGGGAGGCAGGACTTGTAATCCAGCACATTGCAAAGGCATGAGGCTGGGAAGGCTATTTCACAGAATCACAGAATCTGTGCACACCCTTCAAAAGCAAGCAAGCAAGCAAGCGAGCAAGCAAGCAAGCATGAAAGCAAGCAATGGAACCTTATTTAAAGAAACTCACCATCTGACCCAAAGAGTTCATCTGATAAAGGCATTTCTGGACGGTCTACAAAATTTTCACCCTGATGGACAAGGACCTCCTTCACCAGTGGCAGCCCACTCACAACCACAAACCGTATAGTTCCAAGCTGCAGGCAGAAGACATTGCCATATTTTTCTCTAAGCTGCAGTGGGAAAAGAAGACAAGACCAGATGCATCCCAGGTTCACCTGTCCAACTGTCTCACTCAGTTCCTGTCATTGCATCTGGATGGTGGGCAAATTGGTTGGCTCTCTCCAAGCACAGGGGGCCACCTTCTGGCCTTGCCGTCCGCGACTCTTGCAGCTTTGCCCCAGAATGAGGGACAGAAAGAGGGACAGTGGGTGAGGCGAAGCATTTGTCTGGGGCACGGGTAACCTGCTGCTGTTTCCTGCACTTGGCCCTTTCGAGGAAATGCTTCTCTTTGTGTATTTGAACAACCAATGAACAAAACCAACCAATACCATGTTTTATTGATCAACATCACTTCTTTGCCATGCATTCTAAAGGCTAGGAAAGTACAGCTGAAAATAATTGTTATTTGGTGTGTTTTGTCAAAGGGCCAAAAGGAGCAAAGGCTTTGCTCTAATATGGCAGCCAGATGCCTGCCAAGGAGTTGAAGACTTAACATGGGATTCCTGATCTGATTAGCATTCAAGCCTTGCTCCTCCATTTCTACACCTTAGAAATGCTCATGTCCCTTTCCTGAAAGGCTGGTCCTTTGGGGCACACCTCAGACATGCTAATGTTTCCTTTTCCCTGAAGGTTTTTCTCTATTGTTTAGTGTTCATCCCCTATTGCTTTATCATCATGTGTCCCAGTATGCTGCATACCTGATCCCCGACCTTCCCCAAACAGTCTGCAGAAAAGCATCTTATACAGACTTCGTCTTCATAGTCTCTTCTGGGTCTGCCTACATGTTACATGTATTTCCTGTTTGGGTGAATAACCTGCAGGTGTTCTTTTGACTGCACCCCCCAGCTGACTCCCAAAGGGTGGGTTTTTCGCTCTTGACAGTTTCTCTTGGCTTAGTCATCCTGCTGCTGGGAGGGCACATGGGCGGGCGGAATTTTGCACGCTCTGCTCCTGCCAACACCTGTCACGCCCCTCCCTGGATTCAACATTTGGCAGTGAATCAGTACAAGACTGTTTCCTGTATGGGTGCAGTCCTGGGCTGAGACCCTGAAGCATGAGCTTTGGGACCGGCACAGTATCAACTGCAGCTGATGTCATGTAAATAAGATGGTGGTGGAAATGCTTCTGAGTAGAAACATTTGCAGGGACCTGGACTTTGGCTTTGGGAGTCCAGAGTTCAGGCTACTACAGAATGTGGGAACACGCTCCAGGGAGACTCAAAGCAGCCACATTTCTAGCCTGCGAGTGACCCTGCAGGGTTGAGGGTTCTAGCCTGGAGTGCCCCTTCTGTGTGCACTCTGGATTTCATGGAATCAGTGACCTGAAGGGGCCCTTGCAAGCTGCCTAGGTCAGCTCCAAGCTTAGTTCCAGAATGACAGAGTCTGGCCCACAGCAATGGTGCCGGCCTCTGCTGAAGCCTCCAGCAGGAAGAGTCCACCTCCCTGCCCCCAGGTAATTGGCTCCATGATCAAACAATCTTGCATCAAGGCCTTCCTCCTCAAGTGCCACTGGTGCCTAATCTCCTGCTCTGGAACCCCGTGAGGCTCCAGGCTGATCTAAAGGTCCCCATAGTTCCCTCAAGGGCAGTAGAGAACATTTGAAGAGTGCTGACCAGTTGGCCTCAGCCATTTCTTCTTCGGGTAAATCTGCCCAGTTCCTCCCAGCTTTTCTGAAGGATTCATGTTCCAGCCCACTGACCGTCCAGTGCCCTCCTCCCAACCTTTTCCAGCCTTTCTGCATCCTTTGGAGACTGCAGTGTCTGAACATGTTCCCTTGCAGTCATTGTCCCTCAAACTGGTCCGGATTCTTACCTTCTGAATATCAGAAAGAGGCTTCTTGGCATTAAATTGCAGAATGTTGCCCAGGAGAGGGAGAGGCATGGGCCCGGGAGGATACCCCTTCGGACACTTCCCATTTAGGTAACTGGCAAGGAGCAGGAAGGTAGCCAGGAACACCAGAACCGTGGAAAGAGACAAGCCCTCCTGAAGCACAGACGATAAGTGGTACAGCATCTTTATGCTCTACAGCCTCGCCAAGTAAGACTGTCTGTAGAATGGAACCCAGCAAAAGGAGCTCTGCCTTTCTCTCCACGAATGTTGTATTTTCCCTGCAGCTGCTGCAATGAAGGAGGACAAAGGCTGCTTGCCAAAGGGCAGCGCACCACTCCCACGGAATGCAAATTGCGTCACCCCTTCCCAGCAGCGAAGAGGCAGGAGAAAATCATCTTTGTCAATGCATGGGGAAGGATGAGACTTTTTGCAGCCTGACTGTTGCCCCCATACTCCATACACAGAAATGCCTGACTCTCCATTCAGCACAGGGGGCCAAGCTGCCCCCTCCACGGCACCTGAGGCTCCATCCGGGGGTGCCACAGAAGCCTCTCTGCAGGTGCTCCTGTCCTCCAGCACCACCCTGGAGGCAACAGCAGCCCAGTCAACTCCAATATTTGCTGACGGCATTCACCCTCCACAACATCAAGATCAATACCCCGCATGTTCTCCGGCATGCCATGTGCTCTCGGCAGGGCTGGCTCCTGGGCTCCTGTGGTTCCTCTAGCCGGCTGGACAGGAGGCGGGGCCTGCAGCCTTGTCCTCTTGCTCAGGTGGCCATTCCTGCCTTGCCTATTCTCCCCCACCTGCCCCTCCATCTCCCCACTTCTCCCCACTCCCAGTCTCTAGCTTTATGCCTTACTTGTTCCTCTGCCCTCACTTTTTTACCTTGCCGTCTCTTCCCATACTCAGCATTGCTCCTTCTCTCCCTTCTAGCCTTGTCCTAGTTATTTCCCTCCCCGCCACGATCTACTCTTCCTCCCCTCCCCCGCCCCCTACAGCTCCCTATGGATTAGTCAGCTCTCAGAGCAGCAAAGTGGTCATTACAATTAGCAAGCAGAAATTGGGCCAACTAATCACAAAAAAGTCATTCCCAAATGCATGAAGATGGAGAAATAGGTTTCTACCAATACAAAGAGCATTATCATATGTTCACAAGTGCCATATCAGATGTGAAAAGCTCTTTTCCAGTTTCCCAAAAAAAACTCTTTGGGATCAAGCTGCCGAGATCTGGACTCACCACCCACACCTTTCTTTTTCCAAGCTGATCAAGATTGTCTTTTTTATTCACCAAGATGATTTAAGGCATCGCTCTGAACTGGGATGCACTAGAAGCAGCACTACTACCCACTGGAGAGGACCTTCTTTGTCCTTCCATATTTCCGAAGTATGGTCTGCTGCAGGAGCTCTGTTGTGCTGCTGAGAACCAGAACTTCTGGCCTGCTTGTCCCCTGTGCAACAATGCTCAGAAACAGAGCCACATACCCCACCCCAGTGCAGTCCAGTTGCATCGCATCGCATCGCATCCTGGCCCCCCTCGGTCCAAGGGCCAGGGGAGACGCTGCTCATAGGCATCTTGCTCTTGGAAGTACCAGCAGTTGCCTCCTGCCTTTCCCCTTTCAGGGAGCTCAGGGGGCTTAGAAGATTTTCCTCCTCCTCTAAAGGTTATTCTCGCAATCCCCGCTCTGCGAGGAAGCTTGGGCTGAGAGTCTGTGGCTCATGGGCAGCAGACAGGGGATCCCTTGTGTGCAGCTAACTTGACCACAAACCCCCCAGGGAGGTGGCCTCGGGGCACCGCTGTCTCTTAGGGGCAGTCACCCATCAGTACCCCCAGAGTCGTATGGGCTGGCTGACATTACAAAGTCGCTGTCAGGATTCCTGAGAGGAAGGGATGCAGGATGCTTGCAAGCAGGAGAATGACAGCATCAAACTTCTTCCTTTGGAGAGAAGTGATGGGAGGATTCCCATTTTGGCAGAGATGCAATGCAAGAAACCCCCAAGTGCCCCTGTTTCCTGGGGCTCAGCCCAGACCCGGCTGGGTCCGCAGGCAGGTGGGGGCGGAGCAGCAAGGCGGAGCGGGACAGGCGGCAGCTGCCTGGGACAAGGGGGAGGGCAGCGTCCAGATCCCAGGAGGTCACTGTGCCCCCTGCCTTTCAGTCCATTGCTCCTGTGCAGCAGTGTGGCTGTTTATGCATCACCAAATCAGGGGACAGTCATTAGCATGAGATGACACATGCCTACTTAAATGTGGAGATCCCTACTTAGAAATAGGGATTGCAATATTTATTTTATTTCTTTCTTTAAAACTTTTGTATGGCATCACCACATGCCTTGGCATCTCAGGACGGCTCACAATATATGCAATTAAAAACAATAGAATAATCTGTATAAATAACAAATTCAATAAAAGATTATATAAAAACAAAAAACCGAAAACAAAAATAGCGACGGTTAACAATAAAATATTAGTTCTTAAAATAGCTATTAAATGAAAAGGTTTTAATCTGATGCTGAAAAGAATATAAACTCAGCACCAGGCGCACCCCTCTAGGGAGTGCATTCCGTAGTTGAGGCATCACCGCAGAGAAAGCTCTCAGTCGAGTACTCTGTCTCCTAACATCTTTCAAAGACAGTTCTGGATGGGGGAGCACTCCTAAGCTGCAGACCCTGTCCTTTAGAGGGAGTGCAACCCCATCCAGGGCAGGGCCCAAATCACTTACCCAGAAACTCAGATCACCTACCAACAGGACCTCCGTCTTATCTGGATTGAGGCTCAGTTTATTAGCCCTCATCCAGCCCATTACCATTACCTCAGCCAGGCACCGGTTCAGCACAGCCACTGCCTCACCTGGGTTAGTTGAAAAAGAGAGGTAGAGCTGGGTATCATCAGCATGCTGATGACTCCGCAGCCCAAGCCTCCAGATGACCTCTCCCAGTGGTTTCATGTAGATGTTAAATAGTGAGGGGGACAAAATGGACCCCTGCAGTACTCCATGGCAGAGTTGCCATGGCGCAGAGTCAAAGTTCCCCAGCACCACCTTCTGGAATCTGCCGGCAAGGTAGGAGCAGAACTACTGCCAAGCAGTGCCTCCTACTCCCAGTCCCGCCAGCCTATCCAGAAGGATACCATGGTTGATGGTATCAAAAGCCGCTGAGAGGTCCAGGAGAACCAACAGGGATGCACTCTCCCTGTCTCTCCCCCTGCACAGGTCATCATACAGGGCGACCAAGGCAGATTCAGTGCCATAACCAGGTCTGAAACAGGACTGAAATGGGTCCAGATAATCCGTTTCATCCAAGAGTGCCTGGAGTTGTCCCGCCTCCACCCACTCTAACACCTTGCCCAGAAACAGGATGTTGGCCACCGGTCTAAAATTGGCTTCCATCTCTGAGTCCAGAGATGCCTTCTTCAGGATAGGCCGGATCACCGCCTCCTTCAAGGGGGTAGGGACCCGGCCCTCCCTCAGTGAGGCATTGCCAACCTTCTGGACCCAGGGACCAATCCCATAACTGGCTTCTTTAAGCAGCCAAGAGGGGCAAGTGTCCAGGAGACAGGGGGTAGGATGTACCATTCCAAGCACCTTGTCCACATCATCACGCTGCAATAACTGAAACTCATCCGATAATGATGGACCAGAAGGCGCTCTGGACACCTCTTGTAGTGGATTCAAATCAACTGTGGACTGCAGATCATGGCGAATCTGAGTGTTTTTTCCCTAAAGTGCTGGGCAAAGTCATCACAGCGGGCTGCCGAAGGTGTGACCACTTCCTTCTCCTGGTCAGAAAGTATCAGGCCTTGCACCACTCAGAAAAGCTCTTCCGGACGGCACTGTGAGGAAGCAATGGAAGTGAAGAAGAACTGCTTCTTTGCCGCCCTCACTGCCACAGCATAAGCATGATAATGTGCACATAAGTGTGTTCGGTCAGAGTCGTCCCGAGATTTCCTCCACCTGCACTCTAATCATCTCCCAGTCCACTTCATCACCCGCAACTCAAAAGTATACCATGGTGCCGAGTGGGCTCTGCTAGGCAGGAGAGGACACTTAGGAGTGATTGTGTCGATTGCCCTGGTCATCAGCCTATTCCACGAGTTGACCAGGACATCAACAGGAGCGCCAGCTTTATCTGCTGGAAAATCCCCCAGAGCCCTCAGGAATCCATCTGGATCCATCCAACTCTAGGGGTGGACCATCCTAATAGCTGGTCCACCCCTAGAGTTGGATGGATCCAGAGGGAGAGATCAGACCTGAGCTCAAACCTCATGAGGAAGTGGTCTGACCATGACAAAGATGTTAAGATCAAGTTTCTCACTTCCAGGCTGCCCTCTTCCCATCCCATTGAGAAAACCAGGTCAAGCGTGTGACCCTTTCATGGGTTGGGCCGGTGACATGTTGAGATAGCCCCCTGGCTGTCATGGAAACCATGAAGTCCTGAGCCACTCCAGACAGATCTGCTTCTGCGTGGATATTGAAGTCCCCCAGGACCAGCATCCTGGGGGTCCTCAACACCAGGTCTGAGATGATCTCTGTCAGCTCAGGCAGGGAGTCTGCTGGGCAGGAGGGTGCACAGTACACCAGCAGAGTCCCTTATCTGTCTTGGTCATCCAACACCAGGTACAAACACTCAAGACCTGGTCTCAAAGGGACAGGAAGCCTTGCAAGGGAAATATTGGCTTGGTGAACCAGAATGAGTCCCCCTCCCCTCCCCTCCCCTCCCCTCCCCTCCCCTCCCCTCAGGGTGTGGCCGATGTTGCACGAGATATCCAGATGGGCACAATTGCATGAGGGAGACATCTCCCCCTTCTCCCACCCAGGTCTCAGTAATACATGCCAGATTGGCCCCCGCATCCATGATCAAATCATGTATGACAGATGTTTTATTATGGACCGACCTGGCATTTAATAGCAACACCATCAGGCCCAGGGGCTGGCTGATATTGCTTCCAGGAAACATCTGGTTGGGGGAATAACCAGAAGAGAGGACCGGTATCAAACATTGGTCCCTCTTTCTCCTATGCAGGCCTGTTAGACCCCCCCCCCAGCACTATATCTTCCCCTGCCCATCACTACCCCAATGGTGGCGCTCACCTGCTCCCCAGGTAAAATCATCCTGAATTAAAAACAACACAGTCGTCACAAATGAATAACTAGCAACCAGACAAAAAAGTAAAAAGAAAAGAGAAAGAATAGGAAGAAAAAGAAAAGGACCAAAAACCCAGCCCAGCCAGGTCCCACACGGCCCCAAACAGCCTGCACTTTGACAGTCATCCCAAGACCGCTGGCTCTGGCTGCGGCCGGCCAGAAAAGGGCTCCGTGTGCCCTACCCATGCACTCTACTCACGCCACCCACCACGCCCGGCACAGCTGCCACCTGTGCAGAAAGGCAGGGGAGGGAGGGAGTGTGTGCAGGACTGTGGAGGCCTTGCTGGTGTTGGGGAGAGCGGCGGTAGCAGTGTCCTAGCCCAGGTGCATCCCAGCAGCAGCGGTGCATCAGCAGCGAAGGCATCGGGGCGGCTGTCCAGCGATGTCTCAATCCCCGGGCCGATGTGCGTAAACAATATAAAGAGGAACGCAACGCATCTCTCTGTAGTGTGGAAGACCCTGGCCTGTGTGCCTGCTTGGTTATTTTATTGCTCGAGGGCTAACTGTGGGTAGTCAAGAGTCCTTAGGGTTCATTATATTTAAACAGACTCAGATAAAGGACCCCTTCAAGCAGAGGACAGGTCTTTGGCAGCTACTTAAATAGAGGCCTGTGCTCTGTAAGAGAAGACACATGGCCACCCAGATATTATATTTTAACAACATTCTCCTATTCCAAGAGATGCACATCCCAATAAAGGTCGAGCTAGGTGGGAGTTTTTCAGAATGGGGTGATCAACATCACTGGCACAGAAAACAGCTCCCAAAAAACCCATCCTTCCCTGGAAAGAAAAAGGAAGATGTAATATTGTCTAATTTGTGAAGTACTGCTTTGATATACTTCCTTTACTGGTAAAACTCTCTTCATGAGACTTCCATTTGAAAAACAATCACATTCAGATGAAGTAATAATGAAAGTCAGCATTAAAGCAAAGAATTTGAAAACTTCCAGTGCTAACTTCCAGGGTACAAGCAAAACCAATTAAGAGTTAAAGCCAATTTGATGAGGTACTAAAATCACTCTGGTACGGGAAGGCCACAGTAAGCCAAAGGGTTTCTCAGGCCTTTTCAAACACCTGTAAAGATGCTGCCTGAATGAATGCATTCCTGATTGGAAATGCATTCAACAGCCAAACAATATTTGGGCTTCTTAGAAACATTAGAAGAGCCCTCCTTAATTCAGCACAAAGCCCAACCAGGTCCAAATTCCCCTCTGGGATGCCCACAGAGTCTTTGTGTGTGAGGGGAGGGGAAGGGGTTAAAGTCTCCCAACTCCTAGAATTCCACTTTGTGCATTAAAGCGCAAGTTCACTTGCTGGGTTTGCATTCCAAAACTGGAGGGACAGGAAGGCAAATACAAAAGACTCCGTGATGGAATTCTGCCAAGCGCTGGCAGCATTCCAGCCTCTGGGGGAAACAGAGCGTGCTCAGTGCAGCTTTGCCAGAAGTCGCGCCTGCTGCTGCAGCTTCCACTGGGCAGGAAACCCTCCACAGTGTCATCTGCAGGGCCACTCGGGGTTCCAGCAAGCCGATGAAAGGCCCCCCTGCTGAATGAGCCAGAATGAGGGATATTGGCCAGGTTCACCAGCCGTTGAAGGAAATGGAAGCTATGCTGAGCCACAGCTAGGAGAAAAAGGACCAGTCTGTCGATTGGCAGCACTTTGTGACTTACTGTATCGAGCAGAATTCCAACAGATTGCTGTTATGGTTCGTACCGTTAGAGGCAGCTCACAGATGCCACAGATGTTATTAGATCGACAGCTATAATTTCTGATGCACATAATAAATTGAAGCTTATAAAGATGGAATTTGGCACAACCGGGCAGTACCTCCTTAGTACTGAGAAATCAGGATCATTGTCGTAATCCAGGTATGGACCATCCTAAATCTTATTGATAGCCATGGAAAATGCAAAAGCACTGGCTGACTAGCTTCAATAGGGCTTGGACTCAACTGACTTGAGCGGGACTGAGATTGTACTGAACTGAGCTTGGGGCTGGAAGACAGAACTCTCCTGCATGAGGACCTCAGTGTTGCACATCTCCATACTGAAGGACAGAAAAAATCAGGCATTTCACCAGCCTGAAGTTGGTCTTTTGCAGCAGTATGGTCTTGCTTTAGTTCCTCCTGGAGAATGACAGAGACAGAAACAGTGCTGGAGAATCATTCATTCATTCATTCATTCATTCATGGGTCTCAGAATGGTGCATGGGAAAATAAAGACAAACAAATAAAAACGTAATACACATACATTGATGTCAATGTCGATGGAATTAAATATGCCCAACAAGGAAATTAAACACGCTCAAGGCACTGCAATGAGTCAGAGCATCACAAGGGACCATAGCTGCCTTTTTTCCCGCAATGGCCCCCAAGAACAGAAAGGCAGAAAATATTGATAGCCGATCAAGGATAGTGTGCCTTCCCTCAGCGAGAGAATGCGTGTATCTTGTACCGCTGAGGAGCCAGTGTAAAGCCCAACTGGAAGTCGAGGGTTAAAGTCACGTTCTCTGGAGCCTGGAAAGTGAACTTCTGGATCAGAGCAGTGAAGAAAAGGAAAAGCTCCGTCCTGGCCAGCAGCTCTCCGAGACACGCTCGCTTCCCTAGGAGAGAGGACAACACAGTGGCTGGAGAGAGGGAACAACACTTTCCATAGCAATTCAGATTTAAAACATCTGGTGAACGGGGTTAGGTCGGCATAACTGCAGGGTGGGATGCTGCTGACCCTGGAAGAAGGAGGCAAGGAGGCCAGCCCCCCAGTGCCTCTGGCCCCAGCAGCTCTGAGTGCTTCCTGAAAATCTGCTGTGGGGATCCTTGGGAGCAGCATGAGGGAAAATGCAGAAGGACAGAAGGAAGAAGCTGGGAAGGACCCTCCCTCTCACTTGCCTGCCCCACTGATGTCCTATGTTGGGTCTCAGTGCTCCCCAGCCTGGATCTATGCCAACATACGTCTTGACTCGCTGTGAACTAGGCACATCAGCGCTGCCTCAGCCACGAACTGGCTTCACCGAGGGCTTTATCATGGCAATGCTAAAACCTGTTCCACCAGAGAGCCAATTTCCAAATCAGGGAGGCTCTTGGGGGCTGCAGCCCAGTGCTGGGTGGGATGAAGGCCAAAAAGGTGGGGGAAATGCCCCGAGGACCAGCATATTTTCAGTTGCGGTTGTTACTGCCAAGAACAAGCCTTGGAGCAGCTCTGCAACCCTCCAAGTGCTGGGAAAGCAGCACAAAATTTGTGGCTGAGGTGGGAACGGCTGGGGCTGGGACAACCCTGCCAGAGTCCACCCTCCAGCAGCAGCAGACGTCCTCCCCTGCTTGGCCCAGTCTGGGAAAGAGAGCCAAGCCAAGAGGACATTTGCAAGCATGGGTTGTGCAACCAGCAACACTCCCCCGTGGGTGCAAGCTCTGGAAGAATGGTCGCAGGACATAAAATGAGGGTGTCATGACTGGGAACCGGGTGCCATTCCAGGCGGCCAACCAATGTCCCCATCTGGTGGAACCAACAGCACCACAGCTGGGTGTGGAAGATGGGTGTGGCTTGTGCAGTGTGTGGGGCTGGATTCCTGCTGAGCACCCTGGGTGCACTGGGCTCAGGGCTGTGGCAAAGTGGGCTGGAGTCTGGGGAGCCAAGCCCAGGCAATCCAAGAGATTCCCACCCCTGAACAGATTGCTCATACATTTGTGGAACAGGCCCTTAGCCCTTCAGTCTAAGATGCTGCACCCATTTTGGCATTTAACCCCAAATAGAAACATGCCTGAAATACATGGAGAAGATGGTTGTTCTCTTAGCAGAAGAAATCCTGTAAGATTTGGGGCAAGCAACGGAACACAATTTTTTAAAAAGGGATCTGGGTGCTGAGGGAGGGCAGATTACAAGCCAGTTAGTTTAATGTCTGTTCAAGGTGATGCTTGAAAGTGTTATTAAAGAATGAATCCGGAAACACACAGAGGGAAAAGCCCTGCTAGAAAAAGAAATCAGCACAGGCTTCTTGAGGGTAAGCCCTGTCTCATTGACCTGTTAGAGTCGTTTGAAAGTGCCAATAACCATGTGGGCTTGGTTTATTTGGATTTCCCAGAGTATTTTAACAAAGGCCTTGAGCAAGTGATTTCATGCAATTAAAAAAAGGGGAGGATTCTCTTATGGAATAGTAACTGGTTAAGGAAGAGAAGGCAGAGAGTGAGAATGAAGTGTAATTTCCCCATATTTCCCATTATCCAGTCCCCAGATCATCCTTGCTGTCCTCCTGTGGACCCTTCTTTTACTTGGGCATCCGCATGAGCACTGCTTTGTGTAATAGTTATGAGCAGTTCATCAAATCTTATCATCATCACCACCCCCAGCACCCCTACCACCACCACCCCCATCATCCACCTGCAGAGAATGGGATGAACGCTTCCCTTTTCCTGAACTGGCCGTTCTCAAGGAAATGGCCGGGATTGAACACATCGGGGGTTTCCCACTCATCCTTGTCGTGCAGCACGGAGGTCAGGTTGGTGGACAAGACTGTTCCCTGTTGAAGAAAAGGTAGAGAAGGAGATGGGCGGAAACATCAAAAAACTCCTCAATGTGCTCCTCAGTGGACCAACAATGGCACTAACCCTGTGCCTGTACCTACAGATATGCAGAGAATTTTTGGCATGCAGATTATCTGTTCCTTTCATAGTAATGCTTGGACTGAGGCACTAGACTCAGAACCCCATTTAGATGCCTTAGTAGGCTTTCAAAATCTGGGGCTGCTTCAGAGCTAGGACTGGATGCCCACCATACTGACAGGCTTCAAGAACATCAGAGGGAATGTGAGGCGCATCCAGGTTCATGGAGGAGGTGGGAGGACCCAGGAGTCCCCAGTCCATTCCTCCCCAAGAACCGCTTGAAGGGCAGCAGCCCCAGACAACTCATCCAAGCCAAGCTACAGAAGAGAGAAGACACCCCCCGCCCCAGTATTAAGTGACTTCCTTAAAATGTGGTCCTAGTGCTGGCCCATTCTCGTTCCATTTTGGTTCCCACACCTGAGTGACAGAGAGGAAGGAGCAAGATGGAAAGTGCAGCCCTGACAGTCTGTTATTTCTCATCTGAATTACTTTGCAGGTAAAAACCTAGGATCCTGCAAAGCAAAATGCTCACTTGCCACAAAGCAAAGTACTGCACTCTGGATCCCTCTGTCTTTGATTTAGATGAGAAGCATTGTATTTTGGAGCTCACACCCTGACCTCTGCCCTGTTCATTAGATTCTTGGTTCTAAGCTCTCTTTTCTTCTGGACCCACCAGATTGTCTTGCTGCTCCATCCCCACAGCCAGGACTTTAAATGTGAGCCCAGCAACCTGGGGGCCCCTGCAGTCCGTCTCCTCCACCATGGACAGCTGCAGGGTACTCGGATTCCTGGCAGAAAGTCACCTTTCCAGCGGAAGATGCATTGCAAGGATTCAAGCTGTTTCCTTGAGGCTTACTTTGGGCAGGAAAAACCCAGCCACGGTCGTGTCCCTCGTGGCCATTCGGGGCACATTTAGAGGCACGATGTTGCTGAACCTCTGGACTTCATGAATGACCGCGTTGGTGTAGGGCAGGCGATCCCGGTCCTCCAGTGCCGCCTGTCGCGACTGCCCAGTCACGGAATCGATTTCTGCTTGGACTTTTGCTGCAGAGAAAATGACATTTGCCTTCATGAAAAGGTGTGTGTGTGTGTGTGTGTGTGTATGTCTGGGGGGGGTGGGGTCATCTCAACCATCAGGCAAGCAGGATTCCTCCAAGGCCAGCATGAGGAGCAAAACACGTGCACTTTGCAAAGGACATTCCACTTACGCACGACACGGATGGCGTGAGAGGAGCGAGCAGCTCTCCCTCCTTCATTCCACCTGCAGAACCTCAAGCCAAACACACGGACAAAAGCGTCTTGGCACCTGTGAGAGGAAGGGGCTTCTTGTGGCTCGGCCACACTGCTCGAAACTGTGGGGACATTTGTGCAATGCTGCACTTGCTTGTGTTTCCTGCACTAGCCCTTTGCTGGCCACAGTGCTCGTGCCCTTTCTGCATGTTGACCGGCTTCAAATATACTTCCCTTGGTAGTGCTTTAGCCGTCATCCTGAATGAGGCAACTCACAGCACAGTGCTCAGCAGTCTGGACAGAAGGTCAGTTCCTGAGTTTGCAAAACAGATTTCACACACTCTTCTGACATGACTCATTTGCACTCCTTATCAGGGCTAAGAATGGCTTCACCAAGCAAGGTGCAGAGCAGCAATTATCGTAAGGGAGCAATGCAGAGAAACACGCACAGCCCTACCTTGGATGTCTGGGTGAAGGGCCATGTACAGCAGAGCCCAGCGGAGCGTTGCAGAAGTCGTCTCCGTTCCGGCACCAAACAGATCCAGTGCACAGTGTAGTAAGCCTTCCTCGTGGAAAGTGGGAGCAGCGTCTTCCTGAGAAAACGGGAACGAGGAAGCAGGTTAGCCTTTCACTAAGGGCATCAGCCCTTGCTGTCAGATGGGTCAACGTCTGCATTCAGGACCTCATAGTGTCAAGCCAAGTTTTGTTGGAATCTCTGGAGCTGGGATTGTGTGCAAAGGAAGGGAAGGGGAAGGGTCCCCATAACTGCCGGTCCAGATTCCAAAGTGAGGAAAATGGCATCCTCAAGGCAGGAATATCAGTAGATCATGTGATGCTCCTGATCAATCTTTTAATAAATTGTTATTATTATTATGGGCCATGTTAATGGTTTGTTCTTCCATATCACCAAGGAGCTGTGAAGTTATGCTGGCAAAAAACATGAGCATGCAGCTGACATATGGATAAGGAAACTGCACAACTGAGCACAATCATACAGGAGAGGGAATAGTCAGCCTCAGGTGGCTGGACCCCCCTTTGCAATCACGTAAAACCATCACAACAGTTATCAGCAGGTGGGACATCCAGGGAACCCCCAGAAATAGCCCTCTAGCTTGCAAGCTAGGAAGACATGACCTTTGGCTGCATTCCGAATGCCTACACCATCAGTGTGAATTCAAGCACCCTTCAGAGATTTAGGCATGTGGGGAGAGGCAGTCCTCTAGTCCTGTCCCTCCACATCATCCTTCTTGACCCCCAAGTCCTGTCTTGCAAGGGTGGAGTGACACCGGAAAGCCCCTAAGTTAAGCAACAAATTTCCCTCCTCCTCTCGGCTGATCAATTACCTTGGCCATTTCATTCAAATACGCATCAATGAAGTCTCTCGTTTCATGTGGGTTCCAATCTTCTTTGTGCTTTTCAACGATTTCTCTCACGAATGATTTGAGATGTCCCCAGTTTTTAAAAAGGGTCTGATGGGGACCTGGCACATGTTTCATGAGGGTTGGAAAGGTGTCAAACAGCTGTGGAAACAAACAGTACAATGGCTTGAAAGAGACGAATTGTGGACCATCTGGTGAACTTCTCAACACCATTGCCCATCAATGTACTATCAAGAGCAAGGGGCTGGCAGAAAGAAGAGGCATCTCTAGTGCATATCAGAAACAAGAGGAGTATAAAGTCAGGGAATCTTAACATGGAAAAGATGGAGGGACCAATGAAGCCCTTGGAACCAGTTCCCTGGTCAATGCAGGACTCCTAGTCAACACCCCTAGTGTGGGGGAGACCATGACCCCCCCCCCATCCAATTGGTTCCACTGTGCTGAGAATCAGAAATTTCTTCCCGCTGTTCAGCTTGAATCCGGCTTCCGGTAGCTGGACAACCTTCCACTTCAAGTGGTCAATATGTCCATCCGTTGTCTCTTCTCAAGACCAAACTTGTCTAATTCTTTCAATTTCTCCTTCACAGGGCCTTATTTTCAGTCGCAGGATTGCAGAAATAGGCTCTGATTTGTGTGTGTGTGAATCCCAAAAAAGACACAGGCAAAATGAAGTTTAAACAGCAGGAGTATATTTTACCCTGAATACAGGGATTTCTCCATAACAAAAGTGGGAAAGTCATCACTCCCAGGAGCAATAATCCTCATGCCTCCATATCCTCTAGATTTTTGTGCCACTTTGCAAACTGGACATTTGCGGCAAGATCACTTTGTTTATTCATATGCAGGTTCTTGTCTACAACAATTCCATGATCTTTCTTACTTACCATGAACCAAGTATCTCCCAGCTAGTACCTTCCTTTACGTTCTTCCAGCATCCGTAACTTGGCATTAGTCCTTGTCAAAATTCATGCTGCTATTTTCAGCCAGCAGTCCAAATTCCTCTCCTTTGTTACCAATCCTCAGTTTGAGAAGCTGCCACTGATGAGCAATCTTTGAATCCTATTGTAGCCAAGTGTGGATCCACCTCGCAGTTGTTCAATGTGGCCCATGCAGAGCTAGTTTTCTATTCATTCTACATAATAAGATGTAAAGGTGGGCATGTCGTGAGCGGAGTCAGACTAGATGGCCTGGGAGGTCCCTTCTGACTCGCTCTGTTTCTATGGAAGAAAGGGTGGCTCAGCTACTCTGTGTGGATGGCAAAATGAGAACAGCTGAGAAAGAAGAAGCAGAAGTGCTCAGTTCTCACTTTGGCTCAGTCTTCCCCCGGAAAAGGATCTACATCCCCCCAGGTGAGGGGAAAAAGGAAGAACTTGGGGACTACAGGCCAATCAGCCTGACATCAATCAGCCCTGGGAAAATTCTGGAGAACATTATAAAGCAGTCAGTCTGCAAACACCTTGAAAACAGTGCAGTGGTTACCAGAAGCCAGCACAGATTTGTCAAAAGCAAATCCCACAAGAATAATCTGATCTCATTTTTTGATTGGCTCCCATCTCCAGTGGAATGCTCTGGACATAATCTATCTGGACTTCAGCAAAGCTTTTGACAAGGTACCCCATGATATCCTGATTAGAAAACTAGCTCTGCATGGGCCACATTGAACAACTGCGAGGTGGATCCACACTTGGCTACAATAGGATTCAAAGATTGCTCATCAGTGGCAGCTTCTCAAACTGAGGATTGGTAACAGGGGAGAGGAATTTGGACTGCTGGCTGAAAATAGCAGCATGAATTTTAACAAGGATTAATGCCAAGTTACGGATGCTGGAAGAACATAAAGGAAGGTACTAGCTGGGAGATACTTGGTTCATGGTAAGTAAGAAAGATCATGGAATTGTTGTAGACAAGAACCTGCATATGAATAAACAAAGTGATCTTGCCGCAAGTGTCCAGTTTGCAAAGTGGCACAAAAATCTAGAGGCTATGGAGGCATGAAGATTATTGCTCCTTGGGAGTGATGACTTTCCCACTTTTCCATTGAGCTTCACCTGCTGATCTTTTCATTTGCTAGCCTCAATTCACCCCTAGGTTTGTCTCCCTAATCATTAAATAACCCTAACCCTAAATTCCACATTATTTACCTTTACCCTTCCTTTGGAGGCTTGCCTTCCTTCCACTTCCTATACATGTCTGTCTGTCCATCTGACTGTCTGTCTGTCTTCAGATCATTTCTAACCACTTTTGTGAAGCCCCATTGGCCTCTTCTCTTGTCTTCTAGCTTTTCTCCTCATTCGAATTCTGAGTAATTGTGCCTTCTGAATTTCCTTTTTTAACAACTCTACACACATCTTTAGCATCTTTTCTCATCGGGGTTGCTTACCATGAGTCTTAGCATTGTTCTGGGTTGATTAGAATGGTCTTTTGTGAAATTCAGGGTAACTGTTAGCCTACACTTGGCTCTTGCTTCCTTTAGAATCAAGCATGGCATGGTCACACCCTCCAGGGGCAAAGCAAGGGCCCCTTTGTCCACTTGGTTGCCAGCTGGGCTAGAAGCAGGCCAAGGAGAGCCTGTTGACCTGGTTGGTTGACCCTGAGTCTCCTGCCCACTGCAGCCTGTCCCCCAGTCGCATCCTCGAGAGCCTTCAGGTGGCTCCACAGGGCCACTGCTTCCACTGGAGCGGATGGTCTTCTAGTTCTCCTGCTCCTGACTCCCTTTCCCAGAGAGCTTCCTCCTCATTTTCCCTTGCCTCGGGATTCCCATATTCTGTCTCTTAGTGGCTGCTGTTCCACCGCCCTGTCTAGAAACGCTTCATCTTCTCGTCTCCCCTCGAGGGTGGACACGTGGGGATCCAGTGTGCTCGCCTTGCCCTCCCCCGGGGCTCTAGCTTGTTCATCCAATTACAATGCTTCCATACCTGGATCCAAATACTTCCTTGAAGCTCTGTGGTTATTTCAAACAAGGCCAATAGCTTCTGGAATTTATTATCAGAATACTCAAAACGGTCCCCAAAAGTGATGGAGCAGATGACATTTGAAACTGCATTCTTAATCTGCAAATGGGGGTCAAAGGGTTGCCCTGGGGAGAAAATGAATGGGTGGCAGAGGGTATATTAGACTCATATTAGTTAAGCCTCCTGTTTAATAGAACTTCTGTATGGAGAAAGTTGTGCAATATTTGAATAGAATGAGACATTTTCTGAAACATCAGCAAATCCTACCATTTCAAAGTGGCTGGTGCAAGAAGCCCTGGCCAGCGCAGTGTATCTGATGTCCTGCATATTTTCAAATAGACTTGCCACCTGGGCGACAATCCTGTGTGTGCTTACATGGTAGATAGTTCTATAATTCCCAGCCTGCCCCTCTCGGCTGAGTGAAGAGCACTTTCTACATTTGGTGAGGGAACATGACCTTCCCCACTTCCCTCTGCCTCCCAGCTGATCAGCCATCAGTCTGGCAGCAGGACAGGTTGCTGTTTCCCCTTTGCAGGGAACAACACCCCTGACCCCACCATGGAGGGAACCACATGTGGGTTCCCCCGGATGTGGCCCAGGCTTCTCCTCCAGGTTGGGAGTGGAACCAAGAGGCTTAAACCAGGTGACCAAATTTTGCATCCCAAGCGAGGATGCGCGGCCTTAGTCATCTCCCCATTCAAGAAAGGTTAATGTATTGGCAATTGCAAGCCCAGTCGAATTAGGATCTGCCTGCAACAGCGGGACTGCCCACAAGTCCCCTTCACCCGAGCAGAAGAACATGTAAATTGTGCTGCCTGATGCATGAGTGCCATGCCAGATTGAGACAGGACCATGACTTGTACAGCACCAGAAATGCTGAGGTGGGGCAGGCGGCAGTCATGGCTGAGTGTTTGCTCGTTCTTTTGCCTGAGAGGTTCAACTAGGACTGAAGGAGGGCATCTCCAAGACCTCTCCTCTCCTCTCTTCTCCTCTCCTCTCTGCGGAGTCTTCCTGGGGGCTGCCCAGCTGGGCCAGAGCGACTCTGGTGAACTGGAGCACCAGTCCAGCCATCACATCCTTGTGCTGCTGTGTACAGGAGAGCTTCTTGGACAGACTCTGTGTCTCCAGGGCTTACCTTTCTCCTCCTCGATGGCATCAGTTAGGTATCTGCATTCCTCCTGGATTCGTTCTTCTAAGCTTCTCTTGCCCAAACCAAAGTTTCTCAATGTGGATAAGGCAAACCGCCTGTGCTGCTTCCAGCTGAGCCCATTGGAGAAGACCAGTCCTAGTTGGGAAGGATTATCAGGGCAGCACTGAGCACCTGGGCATGCCTTTCATGTGGGAAAGACAGACTCAGTGCACTCTTTAGACCTTTCCCTTTGCCCTACGCATGACACAAGTCTGCAAGGCATTAGGCGAAGATGAAGTTTCATTCATGGATCTTCTCTGCTGATCTTGATTATCTTTCTACCTAACTTATTTCCCATAGAAACAATACTTAAAATACCAGAAACAATCCAGCACCCATCCAACAGTTAGCATAACTCTAACTGTTCCCATAGACATAAGTTCAGAGAGAAACAGTATGAAGCTCAGGAATCAGAGAATGGGAGGGGGCAAGCACGGACCCCAGGGGGAGGCCAGCTCTGGACACAGGCCTGGCATCCCAGCCCATGGGCACCGCACACCCGTCCTGCCCACACGAGGGACAGCTGTCAAGGGCCTACCCTGCCGGACAGGTAGCGTCTCTCTGTTAGGCAGGAAGCTGCTTCCCTCTTTAGATGCAGACAAGATCAGCAGGTGAAGCTCAATGGATCTGTCAAACAGCCGGCTTGCACTGCTAGTACAATCTTCTACCAGTGAAGTAACTGTACCTTGTTCAGTTATTACGGGTTTCATGACCAACAGAAGCTTTGTATGAAGCACATGCTCAAGTCCCATGTAACCGCTTTCATTCTGTTTACCAATAGTGGAAATGCAACACTAATGGAAGCATGCATTGAGAATTTATGAAACTATCTAAAACCGTTTTCTGAACACTACAGCATGCAGTTGTGTTAAGTTACAAATCACATCATCCCAAGGTGGCAGACTCTATAAGCCGGGGAGGCAGGACTTGTAATCCAGCACATTGCAAAGGCCTGAGGCTGGGAAGGCTATTTCACAGAATCACATGATGTGTGCACACCCTTTAAAAACAAGCAAGCAAGCAAGCAGTGAAAGCTGATTTAAAGAAACTCACCATCTGACCCAAAGAGTTCACGTGGTAAAGGCAATTCTGGACGGTCTACAAAATCTTCACCTTGATGGACAAGGACCTCCTTCACCAGTGGCAGCCCACTCACAACCACAAACTGCATGCTTCCAAGCTTCAGGCTGAGGACGTTGCCATATTTTTCTCTAAGCTGCAGTGGGAAAAGAAGACAAGACCAGATGCATCCCAGGTTCACCTGTCCAACTGTCTCACTCAGTTCCTGTCATTGCGTCTGGATGGTGGGCAAATTGGTTGGCTCTCTCCAAGCACAGGGGGCCACCTTCTGGCCTTGCCGTCCACGACTCTTGCAGCTTTGCCCCAGAATGAGGGACAGAAAGAGGGACAGTGGGTGAGGCGAAGCATTTGTCTGGGGCACGGGTAACCTGCTGCTGTTTCCTGCACTTGGCCCTTTCGAGGAAATGCTTCTCTTCATGTATTTGAACAACCAATGAACAAAACCAACCAATACCATGTTTTATTGATCAACATCACTTCTTTGCCATGCATTCTAAAGGCTAGGAAAGTACAGCTGAAAATAATTGTTATTTGGTGTGTTTTGTCAAAGGGCCAAAAGGAGCAAAGACTTTGCTCTAATATGGCAGCCAGATGCCTGCCAAGGAGTTGAAGACTTAAGATGGGATTCCTGATCTGATCAGCATTCAAGTCTTGCTTCCCACATACACCTTAGAAAAGCTCTTATCCCCTTTCCTGAAAGGCTGGTCTTTTGGTGCGCAGCGTAGACATGCTAATGTCTGCCTTTTGTTGAAGGTTCTTCTCTTTTGTGTTGATTTATTTACTCAAAATTTTTATATATTGTCAAAAATATTATAAAATCTCAAGACAGTTTGCATAAAGAGACCAAAATATAAATATGCATTAAAACTAGTATTACAAGAATAAATAATTAGGAACTCCTAAGTCCTGGGACTTGCTACACCAAATTAAAGTTAAAATACAGTACTGATCAAAAAACTGGGAGAATAAAAGGTTTTCGGCCTGTTGCTGGAACACATAAAGCATCAGCTCCAGGCACACCTCTCTGATGAGGGAGTTCCCTTATGAGAGCCCTATTACAGTGAAGGCCGTCATGCTTGTAGTAGCCTCCTCACCTCAGCCAAGGAGCGCTCTCCAAGAAGGACTTCCATGGATTATCTTGGGGTCTGGCAGGTCCATAAGGAAGGAGACATTCCCTTTGATAGCCAGGCCCTAACCCATTTAGGGTTTTTTCTGCTATTGTTAATATCTGAAAAAGGGACCAGACTTCAGTTGGTAGCCAGTGTAGCTTATGAAGGAGCATTGTGATCTGTTCTCGTCTACGGATCCCCGTCAACAGTCTAGCAGTTCTATCGTATTACATGCATCCGCTATTGCTGCATGCTAATTTGCCTCCAGCAAGCTGCGTACCGATCCCCGACCTTCTCCAAACTGCATGCATGAAAGCATCTTGTACAGACACCATCTTCAAGGTATCTGCAGGGTCTGCCTACACGCCTCGAAGATTTTCTGTTCGGGTGGATAACCTGCGAGTGTTGTTTTGGTTTCACACCCCAGCCGACACTCGAAGGGCGGATATTTCACTTTGGACAGTTCCATTGGCTCAGGCATTTCGCCACTGCATGGCCACCTGGGCTGAACTCAGCTTTTGTGCCCACAGCTCCTGCCTGCAGGTGTCAAACCTCCCTCTGGATCCAACTGTGGCAGTGAATCGATACGTGAATGTTTGCCCTGTGGGCATGGCCATGTTTTGCGACTCTGAACCATGAAGCTGGGTGTGTTTCTGGGGGAAATCGATGCAGCAACAACCACAGCTCAGGTCATATAAATCTGCAGCTGATGTCATGTAGATAAGACAGTGGTGGGAATGCTTCTGAGTAGAAACATTTCCAGGGACATGGACTTTGGCTTTGGGAGTCCAGAGTTCAGGCTACTACAGAATGGGGGAGCTTGCTCCGTGGAGACTCAAAGCAGCCACATTTCTAGCCTGCGAATGACCCTGTAGAGGAGAGGAGTTCCTTTTGGGTGCACTCTGGATTTCATGGAATCAGTGACCTGAGGGGGGCCTTGCAGGACTCCTAGATCAGCCCCAAGCTTGATGCTGGAATGACAGGGCCAAACTGCAGCAAATGGGGGCAGCTCCTTCTGGACCCTCTGGCAAGGAGAGCCCCCCTCCCTGCCCTCCCCCCCAGTAACTGGATACACGGTCAAACGATCTTGCCATCAAGACCTCCCTCCTGAAGTCCCACTGAAGCCCCGTATCCTGCACTGGAAGCCCATGAGGCTGGGAAGGCTTTTCTAAAGGTCCCCACAGTTCCCTTGGGGGCAGCAGAGAGCATCTGAAGAGCGCTGTCCAGTTGCCCCTCAGCCTTCTTTTCTTCAGAGTAAAGGTGCCCAGTTCCTCCCACTTTTCCTGGAGGATTTGTGTCCCAGACCACTCCTCCCACGCTCTTCCAGCACGTTTAAACCTTTGGAAACTGCGGTGTCTATACCTGTTTCCTTGCAGCCCTTGTCCCTCCAACTGGCCCCGATCCTTACCTTCTCTATATCAGAAAACGGATTCTTGGCACTAACATGCAGAAGATTCCCCAGGAAGGGGAGACGCACAGGACCCGGAGGAAACCCCCTCGGGCGCCTCCCTTTCAGGTAGTCGGCAAGGAGCAGGAAGGTAGCCAGGAACACCAGAACCACGGGGAGAGACAAGCCCTCCTGGAGCGCGGAAAGTAAGTGCCACAGCATCTTCACCCTCTGCAGCCGGCCAAGCCGGACGGTCCGTGGAGGGAACCCAGCAAAAGGAGCTCTGCCTTTCTCTCGGCGGATGTTGTGAGTATTTCTCGTGCAGCTTTTGCAAGAATGAGTACAAAGGCTGCCTGCCAAAGGGCAACACACCACTCCCACCAAACGGAAACTGACTCATCTATCCCCTAACAGGGAAGAAGCAGGAGAAAATGATCTTTCTCAAAGGAGTTCTGAGGCTTGCCTGTCGTGTCTCCCCCCCCCCCTCCCCGCCATACTCCATGCATGGAAATTGCTCTGCCTCCGTTCAGCGCGGGGGGCAAAGCTGCCCCTCCACGGCACCTGAGGCTCGATAAGGGGGTGCCATGCAAGCCCCACGGCAGGCCGTCCTGCCCTCCAGCAGCCCCCTGCCGTGCCCCCCTGCCGTCAACAGCAGCCCAGCGAACTCCTGCCTGCGCTCACCCTCCGCAACATCGGGATCGACACCCTGCACGTTCCCTGGCAGGCCCTGCGCTGTCAGCAGGGCGGGCTCCTGGGCTCCATTTCTCCAGTCCTTGGGACCAAGGCGGGGTCTGCAGCCTGGATCTCTGGCTCAGGTGCTGTGCAGTTTGCGTGCTCCCTGCGAAATGTTGCAAAGAAGCAGGGCATTTGGACCAATTTAAGGAACTGGAGATGGTGCCAGCAGGGAACACCTGGACTGCTAAGCCCATTATCTACAGCCAGCAGGCCGCCTGCCAGGCTGCCCAGGAATGATGGGAATTGTAGCGTAACACATCCAGGTGAATCCAGGTTGGGGAAGGCTGTCCAGGGCAGGGGTGTTTTCAGAGGTCTCTCCCTCTCAAAACGATGCTTTAAATTTGTCAGAAATGAAAAGATTAGGGTACCAGATTGTTCTGACTGCTGCTGATCAGCTGCTCTGCAGGCAGGAAGGTCTGGAGAATTTTCCTCCAGGCCCCAGCCAGTCTTCCGCCACTTCGCTCTCCACCTCTCCCCTCTCTGCCCTTCTTCTCACTGTTTCTGCCCTTCCCATCCCTTGCCTTCCCTGTCCTCTTATTTCCTGGACCTGACCTTGCTTTTTCTCTCCACCTGCCCCGCCATCTTCCAAGTTCCCCCCACTCTCAGCCTCTCGTAGTCTTTTGCCTTCCTATTTCTCTCCCCTCACTTTTTTACCTCCCCACCTCATCACATGTCTAGCCATCCATCCATCCATACATTTAAAACATTTGCAACCTGTCTTTACCTGCAGGACTCACGATGGGTAACCATTAAAAAGCCATTTGGCCTGGTGCCAAAATGAATGAAGTGTCTCTGGGGAACAGGAAAGAGATGCTCCTTCGGATATCCAGGCCCTAAACCACTGAGGGCTTTATATAGCAGGATTACATAATCAGGATTAAATAATCCACCCTTGGATTATAGGGCACCATAGAAGTAGAAACAGAAAGACAGACAGACAGACAGACATTCTTCTATTCCAAGGGATTCATATTAGGATGAAGATATATATTCTGTACATTTTATGAGTTGATATAATGCTTTTACAGGTAAGACACTCTCAGTGAGGCTCCTGTGAATAATATTGGAATAGCAATCATTTTTGGATGAAGCAATCATGAAAGCCAGCTTTAAAGCAAAGAACTTTATAACTTCCCAATGCAAGGATGCTACAAAGAAGTTCCTGATTACCCTCAACAAGTCTTGGTCTCGACTATCTTGAACGGGACTGAGATTGTGCTGGACTGAGTTTGGTGCAGGAAGACAGAGCTCTCCTGCCTGAGCGTCTCAGTATTGCGTATCTCTGTTGTGACGGACCAGAAAAATGGGGCTTTCAGTGGCTTGAAGTTCCTCTTTTGCAGCAATTTGTTGATGCTCTATTTCCTCCCGGAGAATGACACAGACAGAATATCTGCTAGAGAAGTCTGGATTCTTCCCCAACCCGCCAGTCCCATGAAATTAATCATGCACAACAATTCCCCATCCAGGCATTGCAATGAGGCAAAGCATCACAAGGGACCGTGGCTGCAATTTCTTCCTCAATGGCCCCCAAGAACAGAAAGGCAGAAAATATTGATATCCGACCAAGGATCATGTGGCTTCCCTCAGCGAGAGAACGCGTGTATCCGGTAAGGCTGAGGAGTCAATGTAAAGCCCACCCTGAAGTCGAGGCTTAACGTCATGTTCTCCGGAGGCTGGAAAGTGAACTTCTGCATTAGAGCAGTGAAGAAAAGGAAAAGCTCCGTCCTGGCCAGCAGCTCTCCGAGACACGATCGCTTCCCTAGGAGAGAGCACACAGCTGCTAAATGAATAAATGGCTTTGCACACAGCACAGCAAAGGACTGGGCCACTCACAGCTGCCGTGTGTCTACATGTTATGTACAAACCTGTTCTATCCAATACTTATTCAGACAAGGGAGAAACTGGACAGATGTGGCCCTGGGTTTTAGGACTCCGAAATAATGGACATGATGTGGTGCAGACTTTCTCTCTTAATGCTCTTTCTCCATTTTCCAAATCCCAAAGACTTAGACAGGGAACAACACTTTCCACACCAATTCAGACTTAAAATGCCTGGATCCAGGTAACTGCAGGGTGGGATGCTGCTAATGATGGAGGAAGGGGGCAAGGAGGCCAGCCTCCCAGTGCCTCTAGTCCCAACAGTTCTGGGTGTTTCCTGAAAATCTGTTCTGGGTTTTCTCTGGAACAGCATCAGAGAAAAGAGTAGGACAGAAGGAAGAAACTGGCAAGGGCCCTCCCTCCCATGCACCTGCCCCTGCCCCTGTGTTGTCCTACAATGGATCTCAGTGCTCCTCAACCTGGGATTTGACTCGCTATGAACTGGGAACGTCAAAACTGCCACAACCACAGACTGGCTTCACCGAGGGCAATATGGTGGCCACCTTAAACCTGTTTGTCTGGAGAGCCAAATTCCAGTTCAGAGATGCTCTGTGGGACTGTAGCCCAGTGCTGGGTGGGATGATGGCCAAAAAGGTGGGGCAAAATGTCCCAAGGGCCAGCATGTTCTCAGTGGCAGTTATTCTTGCCAGGAACAAGTTTAGGAGCAGCCCTGCGACCCTTCAAGTGCCAGGATAAGTTCTGGCTGAGAGGGGAACAGCTCACGTTCGGACAGCCCTGCCAGAGTCCACCCCTCTAGCAGCAGCAGACTTCCTCCCATGGTTGGCCCAGTCCTGCAAAGCGAGCTGAGCCAAGAGGACGTCTTCAAGCGTGGGTTGTGCAACCAGCACCCAAATCAGGTTCAGGCACCCAAAAAATGGCCATATGACAATGGGCCATTGAATGGGGTTGCCCAACATGCCTGGACACACCGGGCACCATTCCAGGTGGTCAACCTACTTTGTCTTTCGGTAGAAGCAGCGGCAGAGCTGGCTGTGGAAGATGGGTGCTGCTTGTGCAGTGTGTGGGGCTCGAATCCTGGTGAGCACCCTGGATGCGCTGGGCTCAGGGCTCTGGAAAAGTGGACTGGAGTCTGGGGAGCCAAGCCCTGGCAAGCCAAGAGATTCCTGCCCCCAAATATATTGCTCGCACTTTCCTAGGCATAGCTATTTGGGGAATATGCCTTTGTCCTTAGGCCTAAGATGCTGCACCCCAACTTGACAGCCAACAACAAATAGAAACATGCCTTAAATACATACAAAAGATGCTTTGGTCTCTTAGCAGAAGAAGTCTCATAAAATTTGGAGCAAACAGCTTAAGACCATTTTTAAAAAATGGATCAAGGTGGATTACAAGCCAGTTAGTTTAGTGTCTGTTCTGGGTAAATCACCTGAAAGTTTTATTAAAGAAAGGATCCGTAAGCACACAGAGGGACAACTCCTGCTGGGGAAAAAAATCAGCATGGCTTCCTCAAGGGAAAGTCCTGTCTCATTAACCTGCTAGAGTGTCAGTAAGCAAGTGCACATGGTTTTTTTTTTTTTTGGATTTCCAAAAGAATTTTGACAAAGACCCCGAACAAACAAATCAGCCATGGAATGAAAAAAAAGCAGGGGGAATTCTCTTATGGATCAGTAACTGGTTAAAGAACAGAAGGCAGGGAGTGTAAATAAAGTGTAATTTCTCCAAGTTTGGCAGAATCCAGGTCCCAGATCATCCTCGTTGCCCTCCTCTGGATCCTTCTTTCCTTGGGGATCCAAATAAGCACTGCTTTAGGTAAGAGTGGATGAACTGCTCATAACTATTATCATCATCATTATCAAAATTCACCTGTAGAGAACGGGATGAACGCTTCCCTTTTCCTGAACTGGCCGTTCTTAAGGAAATGGCCGGGATTGAACACACCGGGGGTTTCCCACTCATCCTTGTCATGCAGCACGGAGGTCAGGTTGGTCATCAGGATGGTTCCCTGTTGAAGAAATGGTAGAATAGGAAATGGATGGAAACATCAGGAAACTCCTCAATAGACTCATTAGCGGACTGACAATAGCACTAAGCACCATGTGGTACCAAGAGACACACAGAGAATTTTTGGCCTGCAGATTATCTGTTCCTTTCATAGTAATCCTTGGACTGGGACACTAGACTCAGATCCCCGTTTGGACGTCTTAATATGTTTTCAAAATGTGGGGCTGCTTCAGAGCGAGGACTGGGTGCCCACCAAACTGACAGGCTTCAAGAACTTCACAGGGAATGCGATGGGCTTCCAGGTTCATGGAGGAGCTGGAAGGACGCAAGAGCCCCCAGTCCATTCCACCCCTTCTGGGTGAAAATATTCCCCAAGAGCTGCTGGAAGGGCTGCAGCTCCAGATAACTCATCCAAGCCAAGGCACAGAAGAGAGCAGAGACCCCACCAGAAGTATTAAAAACTCCCTTGAAATGAGGTCCTAGGGCTGGCCCATTTGCATTGCTTCTTTGCTCCAGCATCCTCATGACCACGAGGGTGGCAAGGCGGGAAGCGCAGCTCTGCAGCAGGGATGCAATGCCCACTGGTTCCACAATCGTGCAGGAGCAGAGGAGCAGGTACGATGAGCGAGCCACAATCTCATTGTGGAAAGGGGCCAGATGGACAGCGGAGTAAGTTTGGGGTCTCCGGCACAGGGCCTGCTGGGTTCCTTGGCCCTGATGTTCTCTTATTTCTCATCTGGATTATTTTGTGTCTTAAATGTGGAATCCTGCAAAGCAAAATCCTTACATGCCACAAAGTCAACTGCCAGCACAAAGCAAGTGCTGCTCTCTGGCTCCACCTGTCTCTGATCCAGAAGAGAAGCATTGTGCTTTGGGTCTCACACCCGCACCTCTGCCTTATTAATTCGGGTCTTGATCATAAATTCCCTTTCCTTCTGATCTCACCAGATTGTCTTCTGGAACCAGCCAGGCCCGTGTGGCAGCCATATTAGGCACAGTCGAGCCATACCCCCACCCCCACAGGCAGCACTTACAATATGACCCCAGAAATTTGGGGGCCACTGCAGTCCAGCTCCTCCACCAAAGAAAGCTGCAGGGTATTTGGATTCTTGGAATGAACTCATCGTTCCAGGGGAAGATGCATTGCCAGGATTCGAGCTGTTTCCTTAAGGCTTACTTTGGGCAGGTGAAACCCGGCCAGGGTCGTGTCCCTTGTGGCCACGCGGGGCACATTTAGAGGCAGAATGTTGCTGATCCTCTGGACTTCGTGAATGACTGCGTTGGTGTAGGGCAGGCGATCCCGGTCCTCCATTGCCAGCTGTCGCGACTGCCCAATCACCGAATCGATTTCCGCATGGACTCTGGCTGCAGACAAAACGATGTTTGCCATCAAGAGAAGGAGGTGTGGGGACAAACCCCAAGTATCAGGCAAGCAGGACTCCTTGAAGAAATTAGGGCCAGCATTGAGGGGAAGGCACGTGCACTTTGCAAAGCGCGTTCCACTGATGCACCACGCGGATGGCATGAGAAGAAGGAGCTTCTTTCTGTGTCAGGCAAATACTCTTGTGAACAAATCTGTGAAGGGGCAGGTCCATGCGGGGACCACCACCCACAGCTTTTAACAGCTACCCCTACCTAATTCTCTCTCAGACACTTAGAACATCATTAACTTTTTAAAAAG